TTGGATAGGTAGGGGAGGTACGGAACATTGGCCTGCTCGATCGCCGGATTTAAATCCTCTTGATTTTTGCATTTGGGGTTTTCTTAAGTCATTAGTTTATTCCACTCCCGTTGAAAATGTTGATGACCTGAGGAATCGAATTATAGTCGGCTGTGAGACAATAAGAAATATACCAGGAATATTTGCGCGAATACGACAATCAATGAGGCGAAGAGTTGAAACTTGTGTCACGTCTGAGGGAGGTCATTTTGAACATTTGTTGTAGCTTTGCGCCTTTTCAAAATTTTATTAGTGTTATTTTCTGTTATTGTTCTGGTTTAATGTTATTGTATTAGATAGTTCTTGATAACGTATTAAAGAAATAAAAAATACGCGTTAAGATGTTTTATTTTTTTGCATCAAAACGGCACCCCATACTTAGAAAAAGCAAGAGAGATTTTTTGTCACAAATTGAACGAGGAATTCAAAAATGATTTTTTATTTGTAATATTTCAGTGGCGTACCCATTTTTTTCTTTAAAAAATTGAAATTATTACCCGTACGCGCGCCAATGTTGAACATAAAATTCTTAATTGCGTGTCAAAAAATGCACAATAACTACCTCTTAAAACCCACCAAATTTCATTTGCACATCTCGACCGGTTTCAGAGCAAAAGAAAAACTTTGACACCCCGTATCTCGGAAAACGAATCATTTGCGGACATACGTTTATAAGCAAACTGCCATTATTTTCTCATGTAGAATCACCCCCTCAAATTTGTCGCACTTATTTACTAACACCCTGTATACTCTACTACAAAAGTGAAGGGCACTTTTCTTTGAGCCAGCTGGATTTATATTTTTCTATAAACAGCATTAACTGTACGGGTATTATAAGAGTGACTATCAAAATTTCTTGGGAGTTTATGCAAATTTCTTTTAATGTATAAAGCTGCCTCATAAATACATAGGCAAGAGAATGTTAATATGTTGTTTTGTTTAAATATTGGCTTACATGAATCCAACGGACCTAATGAGAACATAAGTCTAATTAATCTCTTCTGCAAAAGAAAAACCCCGTCAGAATCCGTAGCTTGGCCCCAGAAGATAACTAAGTATTTCAAATGTGAGTATGCTAATGCGTAATACATATTTAATATGTATTTAGAATTCATTATGTAACTAACATTTCTTAGAGCAAAGTATGCGGAATTTAGTTTAGATATTACATGGTCTATATGATTTCCCATTTTAAATTCTCATCGAGATAAAGACCTAGGAATTTTGTACAAGAAATTTTTTGAAGATTTTTTATTATTTAATCTTAGTATAATATCTTTTATTTCACGCCTTTTCTTAAATATAATGTAATTGGTTTTATCCGTATTTATAATTAATCTCTTGGAGTGACACCATTGCCAAAAAAGTGTTAGTATATTATTTGCTTTTGTTTCTTGTTCTTCTAGACTATTAGAGGTGATACTTATGATTGTGCCATCTGCATACATAACTAATAGAATATTGGGGTCTGTAATAACATTGGCATCGAGGTCATTCATGAACAACGTAAATAGTAGTAGCGCAAGAATACTTCCTTGGGGAACACCGAAATTTACATTTAAGGGCTGTGATCTGTGCTCTGCCAATTTTACTGATATTTTCCTGTTTGACAGGAATAAACTGATTTAAAGGTTCTCTTATTCCTAGAGAGTTTATTTTTTTTTAACAATTGTAAAATCAAAGAAAATTACCACTATGAACTGCCTTTTATCTAAACCTTCATAAATATAGTTAGTGAGATCATAAGTTGCAGACTTTGTGGAACGTTTAGTTATAAATCCATGTTGATTTTGTGATAGCAAATTATAATTCTTAAGGGTATTAGAAATTCTGTCATATATAATTTTCTCAAATAACTTAGAGAATGATGACAATAGCGCAATAGGTAATTATCAATTACATCTCTCTCTCCTTTCTTATGTAATGGTATTACTAATGCAAGTTTCAAATTCTCAGGGAATGTTCCTTTTTGTACACATAGATTAAAAATGTAGGTTAAAGGAGCGAGTAAATATTTTGATAGATATATTATTGTCCTGATAGATATTTGATCGAAACCAGAGCTAGACTTCTGAAGTACTCAAAAAACATAATTAGTGCAAGTAGGCTCAGTTGAAGGCCTCCAAATCCGTGCCATTCCGAGGGTTCACAAGAGAGGAAAAAGGTAAAAGAAATTAGATCTTTGATCACATTTTCAGGAAATTACCTCGTATCCGATGGAAGACAATCGGCCAGTGGGACGTCCATACTCCGAACCGACCATTGAAGTTGACGTGATAAGGAAGGCCTTCGAAAATCTCGTTTGCTTCTTGGTTGGCGAGCGGGATTAAGGTTATCCCTATATTAGAGGTAATCCTGTAATAATGATGGTAAAAGACGACATGGCTTCCAATGTGGGGCCTGAATGTCCAAAACGCCATGAGAATGTGCTGAAAGATAATAATTATTTATTAGTGATAAAACTAGATCATAAGAAAGATATTTCATTACTTTCTGGTTAGATTACCTACAGTTCTTCGTTGGAATCTTTTATCTCCAGCAGTATTTGTCACCTTTTATTTTTATCATAGAGAAAGGAAAAATAAAATTTTTAAAAATTACAGCATCTTTTAACTATTATATTATTATAAAAACTGTTCAACGTCAAACGTTCTACTTTAGAACAGTGGGGAAGGTTGTACTAGATTGCGATTAATATTTGGTGGTTGATTAAAACATAAATTGTTTATTACTTTTACAAAATTGCGAACATTTAATTAGATATTGAATAGAACTTGGAATTTATCTTTTTAGTGTTTTTGTCACTTTTTCTGGGAAATGTCTTTTTACTTTTGAATAGGCACAAGGTTCATCGTAAAGAATATTTATATTCAGCATAATATAATTTTTAACGCTATTACTTTAAATCCGATATTTCTTATAGGAGGTAAATGAAAATCGGTGATACTTACGTCGAATTAAGTTTAGGTCATTCATTGTGCCCTGAGATTTCGGCACTTTATAAAAACTGGCAGGGGAAATGTCGTTGACTTTATTTATCTCATTTCAAAAACATTGTAGTGTATTCATGAAACTGAAGGCATCACAGATAGACGAAAAAATGGAAGACCAGTAAGCGTTACAAATGAAGAAAATTCTTTGAATGTCATATTAGATGTGGTGGATAAATTCATTTGTTATACGAATTGCTTGAAGACGATTATGATCGTAGAATCGAGTTCTGACAGGTTCTTATGGATAAAATAAGCGAAAATGTCAACTTTGTCACCCACATATTATTTTTTGACGAATCTACATTTTGTTTAAATGGGCACGTAAACCGCCACAACTGTAGATATCGGTCAAATTCCACATTGGATTGGAGGAAGTTGACACCCAACGACCACAGAAAATAAACGTTTGGTGTGGCGTTATTGATGGACACGTAATAAGACCCTATTGTATAAACGGAAATTTGACCTTTGAAAGATTACTTGTGCGAGAACATATTATTTCAGAGCTTATACGATTATTTTCGAACAATAACAATCCCAATTTACCGGCAGAACAAATATGGTTTCAACGTGATGGGGTTCCTCCACATTTTGAACGTGTGGTACGGGCATATCTAGATGAAACTTTTCCTGTTAAATGGATTGGACGCAGAGGGGCAATTGAATAGCCAGCTGGGTCTCCCGATTTCACCCCGCTTGACCTTTTTCTGTGAGGTCATATAAAAAATGTGGCCTTCAAAGATAGGTAATATCGAAGAGTTGCGGGAAAGGATAAGGCATGAAATTTCCACTATTCCTCCCAACAACACCGTTTTAGATTCACTACAAAATTTTGTTCAGCGAGTTCATTACTGTCAGGGGGTAAATGGTGAATACTTTGAGTACTTTATATAATTGAATTCCAAAGAAAATATTTGTTGTTTATTAAAACTTGTTTTTAAATTCTTCTATTCCGGCAGAACTACTGCTTGCCTGCCTGAAAGTGGCTTACTAACTTTAAATGCGTCAGAAACATGTATTTACAAACCATGAATGAAACGGGAACGTGGCGTAAAACAGAAAGAGTCATTTTTAACAAGACTACCGCATATGTCAAAAATACAGACGGTCATATCATAATTAATTAATAAGCAACATGACCGACATAAGGAAAGTAAAAGTGCTACAGCTGCGCTCCCATTATCGGTACGACTAATCATTCTTTATGGGCGGGTGGTCCTCCGCCGTATGGAATGAAGCTTGAGGCGAAACGCATTGAAAGTTCACGCCGAAGGAAATTTTATTGGTACCTATTTGTCCGTGCGAGCTTACCCAGCTTTCACAGTCGACGCTGATCAACCGTTATAAACATAACTTACCGCAAAGTGCGTCATTTTTCTTTTTGCTAGCGCCGCGGTCCATGCGAATTTGGAGTACCGCGAAGTGATTTTTAATTGTGTCTGCATTCGGAAAGAGGATATCTGTGATTTGTTTGTTTTTTTTATTTCTTTGGATGGTTCTAAAATGGTAAATGCATTGTTTTCTTTTTTACAAAGTAGGTATTTCAGTAAGGTACAAAATTATTAATATACAGAGTGTGTCATTATTGATGGTTCTTGGTATCAAGACCTCAAAAATCATTCTTTCAGCGGAAAAAAGACATTTGGCAACAAAGTAAAATCATAAAGATAAAATTGTTAAAATGCATGTCTCATTGATGTGAAAACTGAATGATTTAGCCAAACGTGCTTTAATTAAAAGGTGCTCATTCTCAATCTGTAGGATGTCGAAGAAAAAAATATTAATTTTCCTGTTTCTAGAATTAACTTGAATTTAACAAAATTTCAAGAAATAAATATGGAATAAATAATAGTTATTTTGATTTTGTCTTCTACATTTTTGGTGGCGTAAACTTTTCTGTTTTTCACAATTTTGTCTATTGTTTAAAAAAAACGCGAATTTTAGTATTTAATTTTAAGTGAAATTGGTTGAAAATAAACAAACTAGCAGATTTTTGCAAGCAATTTAATTTGTTTTTTTTGTGCAAAAGATATGGTTGCAGTAAAATAATCTTCAGCTGCAGAACCTTTAATTGTAAATCCAAATTTTAAACTATTTAAATAAAAATGGTTAAGTGCGAGGGGTAGGGCATTCCTTAAATATTTGTACAAATTAGAGAGGTGGAGAGATGGCTTTTACACCTTTTAAATACGTTTAGATACAGTTTAAATAACTTCCGTAATTCATCGAATAATATTTTAGGGCCGTTTTTTTCGTCTGTCAATTAAATCAATTCCAACGTCTTATGCATATGTTTAATGTGAGATAGATATGGATTTAACTGATAAATAAAATCAGAAGGTTAAAAAAACAGGCCTAAATGTAATGAAGTTCAAAATTGGCATGTGTTTTTATAAATAGTATTTAGTTTGAAACTCATTTTATATTTAGGATGGTTTATTATTAGACGCTCTGAACAAGTTTGATTTCCTTTCATAAATAACTTTTGTGTTAAGAAAAATGAAATAATTTTTGACACTATTAATGCAATCTATCTAATTATTTTATTGTTTTCTCACTTCTGGAAAATGGAAAAAACTTTGCTGAACCAAAAATCAAAATTTGCATCAAACTAAATGTATTTTTCTTACTTAAGATAAATACAGCCTCGTTTTGCTATTCATTTGTTGCTTTTTTGTATTTAATACATTGAATAAATCAAGATAATTTCCATTTTTTTTGTACTATTTGAAACTTCTTTATTTTGGCATGTGAATTAATTAGTAGGTATTATTGTAATTGTAATAATAGGGAAATATTTATCAATAGAAATTTTTACTAAGCAAGATATTTATAATAAAGAATGAAACTAAAATAAAAATTTATAGTGAATGGTCTCATATAAAGTCCCCAAACGTGTGTCTACAGACTCCATTATAAAGTAGAGAAAAAAAAATGTTTCCTGGACTTTTGTAAGTGGAAATGGTAAAGGCACATATAATACACGTACAAAAATAAATGCATGAGCGGGGGTGGTGCATGGAGAATTGATTTTAGAGGTTGAAAAGGGGCGAAAATGGTATTATTGCGATTTTCGGCGAAAGTTGACGTCAAAAAAAGTATCCAATACAAAAGACGATCATGAAAAAATCTACAACTTTTGTCACTTTTTAAACCTACTTACCTAACCTTAAAATTGTTGAGAAAAATAGTTTTTTTTTTGTTTTTCGTTTTTTATTTTTTATTTCGGCAAAAATAGGTAGTTCACATGATTGACATAATTGAATTTTGACTTGGTGAAAGTATACCTTTCTGTGTCTTAAATACTTGAATAGTCACAATTTTTTATAACGAAATCAAGATGTTTCTGAGATATTAATTTAAACCCTTTGAAAAAAAAAGCTGCTTAGAAAAATCATCGTAATTCTGCCGGTGCTCATTTTTTTCGTTTCAACATATACTTTTTGGTAAAATAAAAAAAAACAATCACAATTAATTATTCCTGTAGATGGAAAACGAGTAACATTTAATTAAGTGTTAAATGTATTTTATTTTAATAGTAAGCTAATGCAAGCTAATTTTAAGCATTTTCCTAAAATTCTTGTCAAATGAAGTCATGTAGCTCCTTGATACCAACATAAAAACGTATTATAATCAACCATCCGCAGAGCCTCAGTATTCTTTCATTAATGAGACCTATTCTTAATTAAACACATGAATTTATTACAGAAGGCAATGTAGAAGAGTAATTTATGCGTATCTTTCACATATGCTGTACAATTTCTACGCTAATAGGGAATTACTTCGATGCGCATGGTTTGCACGTATAATTCAATAATTTACGCTCTACTGCAAAGAAACGTCTGTATGTGATATTGATGTGTTTTTAAAAAGTATGTATCAAATGATGCCACAAATTTCCGTGACGAATTGAGACTCGGAATAAGTGCTATGCTAACATTGTCGAACGTCAAATAACTTAAACTGATTAATAATAATCTGCCGATGGATTGGGTCGACGTTCGGTCACAGGGAGGCGCATCTACGTTAGAGACTATCTTGCGTGGTCCGATTTATTTCGGCACCATTTCCACTAATCGGATTTCCCTCCCTTCCCATTTCTAGGTTTTTGGGAGCGACGCGGAAACTTTGGAAAGGTCGGTAAAATTTTCCCATTCCCGCGCCTTGTCATCCTGGGCATCTCCGTTGACAGCATCGTCTCTGGCGGGGTTGACAGTCCTGTCTGGAACGGTTTGTGGCTGTTCGGTGCGGTTCTGCTTGGGGCAATTGTTGAAATTCACTTAAGACACTATCATATTTTTACTTCATTTTAAAGATAATAAGCTAAGTCAAAGAATTTTCTAAAAATCTTATCAAATGTCAAACAATCTTCTTCGACACCAATAATCTAGGTATGCAAAATATATCTAACCTCATAAACAAGATTATTAATGGATGATATTGCGGGAAACCACTACTCTGTGGACTTCATACCCCAACTCCAACTACTTCAGTAGTTGCTTCCCATATTATCAATTAAGAATCTTTATAAAGTTAGTTATTTTGTATACTTAGATTATTGGTGTCGAAAAGCATTATGTATTTGAAGTCATTTCATAGGACTTTTAGATTTTTTTTTAATTTGTTTGAATTAGCTTTAAAGTAATTAAATTTTAATTTATTAATAATAATTTTGACAACAATTACTTGAATAATGAATCTTGCTTAACACTCACCTATCCATATCAAGGTTGCGACAGTGAAATATTACGTACTGATTTTGAATAATATATTTAGAATACTTACTGTTTCATATTGAACTAATTAAATAGGTATATTTTAACCAACTTGACGTAATAACTTAATTAAAATTTCAAGTATATTTAAACTAAAAACATTAATGTATAAATAAATAATTAGATATTGCGATTATCTAATTGTCGACTGCTATAATAGATCATAATTTTATGTTTATATGTACAGTATCTATCTAAAATCTAAAATTTTTATTGTTAAAGAGTAACAGCAAAAAAACCCATTTTTTCGCCCGTTTTTGCGTAGTGCGTAGCAAGAACGGGGAAGGTCGTCCAGAGGTCTCCGTGGGCTTAAATTGATCGTCATGAAAAAACTAGGTGAACATAATTCGATTTTTCCAATATTTGTCCGACTTACCCCTACTTAAGGGGTGGAAACTACCCCTAAAACAAGAAACGTGAGAAAATGGTCGATCAATTCTTGGTAAAAATTGGCGGGAATTTGAATGGCAAGGAAGAGATCAGGGATGTTCTTCCAAATATGCTCAAGGTGAAAAACATCCCCCGCGTCGGGGTAAAACCACCCTTATTGCCGAAAACCGGCGGCAAATGATGTTTCCTTAATAAATTGCCTTTTTTGTGCCACTCTTCCTTATAAATCCAAATGATATGAAATACATGCCCCCATAACTCGTTCTTCTGTCGGATTCTGATCAGTTACCCCTACTGAAGGGGTGGAAATCACCCCTAAAACAAGAGAACAGAAAAAATGGTCACCAAAATCTGGGTAAAAATTGGCGGAATTCCACATGGCAAGGGTAACATCAAGAATGCCCTCCTAAAAATGCTCAAGGTGAAAAACACCCCTCGCGTGGGGGTAAAACCACCCCTATTGCCGATAGCAAACGGGGAATGATATCCACTTCATGAAGTACTTTGTTTCCCCCACTACCCGACAAATGATACGAAAGACGGGCCCCATAATTCGATCTTTTGTTTTACCCCCACGCGGGGGTGGATTTATCATGAGCATTTTTAGAAGGACATTCCTGATTTTACCCTTGCCATGTGAAATTCCCCCAATTTTCCCAAGAATTTATCGACTATTTTCTCATTTTTCTTGTTTTAGGGGTGGTTTCCACCCCTTAAGTAGGGGTAAGTCGGGCAAATATTGCAAAAATCGAATTATGCTCACCTAGATTTTTCTTGCTACACACCACGCAAAAACAGGCGGATTTTGCGGTCACTCTGCCATTAAATTACCAGCCACACACAAAAAAAGTCCAAACCCAAGAGACCCACATATCATTTCCGAAGGAATTCGATGAGCTGATTACGATCCTGTAGTCAAAATTTATTATTAGTCTATGAATTTAGGATAAACCTGAAATTTTTTGATGAAAATGACCAAATATGAGTCAAAACTAATTTTTTTCCTAATTTTTGTCCAAATATATAATTTTCGTAGTATTTTGAGGAGTTGAATACGATGCCAATAGTAAAATTTACCTCTAACTTCGATATTTCTAAGAAAATTCAAAATTAGAGTTTTTTACAGACTTGAAAATTAAAAAAGTAATTACTATCTACTAATTTATTAATATCATCTATAATAAGTTCATAAGTATATGTCGTCAACAAAAAAATTATATATTAAAGAATCAGTGACAGTAATTTTGCTTTATCATTAAATTTGTTTTCAATGTAGGTAGTTGTAATAAAAATCATGCACAATTGTTTTCGCAATATCTAACATACTAAATCCTACATATA